ACTCTGAGCTTGTGAGTCAGGAACAATTCAGGAAATCAGCCGGGAGAACTGCTCCTCAGAGTACAGCACTGGATTCTCTTTTGAGGTCCAAAGTCAGCAGAGTGTACCTCAGAGCTAGTAAGAAGGGCTTCATATGCAGATACACACCCACCGCTCCTGCTGCCCTGAAAACTATAATCTTCTTGTAGTTACTGCCAATCATTCCTTTCTTTCATCAGTAACTTCTGAGTCAAGGTTGAAGCAGGATGCATTTGGTTGGTCAGCCTAAATAATGTATACACCCTTCTCCACACAGCAGGGTAGATGTATGAGTATATTAGTTTGCTAGGGCTGTCCATGGCTGGTGGCTTACACAACAAAAACTGATGTTCTCACAATTCTGGTGTCTGATAATCCAAGACCACAGTTTCGGCAGTCCCTCTCTGTGGCTCACAGATGGCTGCTTTCTTGCTGCGTCCTCATAGCACCGTCCATTGTTGTGTGGGGGCATATCGCAATCTCATCTTTAAAAACACTGGTCTTTGAGGCCCTCCCTGGTGGTGCAATGGGTTGAAGTGAAGCACTATGAAGCCGCTTCAACATGAGTTTGTTCCCTTGCCAGGGAAGTGACCCAAATGGCGTGGCAGACCTCTCCTGTCTCGCCCGCCCGCTCCTCCCCTCGGCAGTGTACTTCATCCATCTGCCTATTCTGCTCCCCACTCTGTCTCTGGTGAATCCTCTCACCCCCTGCACCTCTGCCTATATGCCATAAATATAAAAAATGAATATTTAAAAACACTGGTCTTTGGATTAAGCATCACAAAGATTCCATGTTCGTTGAATCACCTCTTTAAAGAGCCTGTCTTCAAATATAGTCATAGTATTCATCTGACAACAATGAGTATCAGGTATCTCCAGTTTCCAGGGCAAGAGATAGAGGGGTACAGGAGGAGAATGAGCTTGGCAATCAGGCCACTTAGCGCTATCCATCCAGGGGTTGTTTATATCCTATATGCCTACATTCTCTAGACGGTAAAGTTTCAGGGATGAGTAACAATAACACTACCTCTCTAGAATTGCTGAAATTCAATGATAACAATAAAAAGCTAGAGCAGAGCCTGACATTATTGTTAAGGACTCAAAAGCTGTTATAAGAAGATGGGTTCTGATGCTGAGCAAACATAAATTTAAAAAATCGCTTTCAAAAATTAATTTTAAAATGTGAGAGAGTGCGAGGAGATAATTCTAGAAAGCCATTTGGGTTGGATGATTATCAAAACAAGTCAACTAGAATTTTTTTTTTTAAAGATTTTATTTATTTATTCATACAGAACTGGGGTACAGGCCAGAGATGCGGAGGGTGAGAGGCTTCACCAGAGACAGAGTGGGGAGCAGAACAGGCAGATCGACGAAGTACACTGCTGAGGGGAGCAGCGGGCGGGCCAGGAGAGGTCTGCCACGCCATGTGGTCACCTCCGGGACAGGCGGGAATCGAACTCATGCGGAAGTGGCTTTAGTTTCTTAGTGCAGTGCTTTAACCCACTGCGCCACCAGGGAGGGCCGTCAACTAGAATTTTTAAGTGTTGCACCTATTAACACAGACTTGACATCTTCTCAAGTCTTCATGAATTTAAAAATGGCGGTGCTAGCAAAGAAACAGAAAATTTTAATTATTTGAAATTACTCCTAAATAATTATTAACATAGTTTGCAGAGCCCTATATACTCATTGGATAGCAGATACTAAACACCAGCCTCAGTTTCTCTCAGCCAATAAAAGGAAACAAAGTTTGAGGAAAAACAAAGTGGTTTAATTTGTCAACAATGAGGAGGGCAGCAGACTCATGTCTGAAAGACCACCATCTCGCTCTTTGGCAGAGGGCAGGGTTATTTATACAAAGGAGTGAACCAAGATCAGCATGTATAGCATACAGAGATTTCAGGCAGGTGCCACCTTGCTTTGTGTAACACCTGATATTTAACTTCCATGGATGATGAACTTCTTGATTATCCTCAAAGGGATAGTCTTCCTTTTCTTTAGAATGCAAGAAGGCAAACTTATTAAATTCAACAGATAGGAATGCTTATCTGAAAGGCAGAGAGACCTGTTCTATTTCATTGCATCATAGCTTCCTCCATTGTCATACAAGAAAACCAGGAATGTGACAATGTTAACTAAGCCTTAGTTTTCACAATTTTTACATGTTCTCTTTCTCTCTCTCTCTCATCATATGATGACTACATATTTTTAAGTCAAATTACCAAACATTTTTCACAGTGCCTATGAATTACATTCCCACCAACAGAGTATGATTACAATTTCTCCACATACTTGCCAACTTGTGGTTTTATCACTATTTTGTATCTTAGCTGTTCTAACATGTTCACAGTGAAAATTCATTGTGATTTCATGCCTTGATGAAAGACCTTTTCATTTGCTTATTTTCCATCCATATTTCCTCTCTGGTGAAATGTCTATTCTTTTCTAATTATATTCTTTGGTTTTGTTAGGTTGCCTTTTTAAAATTTTTTAATAATATAAGTTTATTTTTACATCATTTTGTGCATTTTTCCATCTCGGTTGTAATCCCTATGGGCTTCTCATCACCAAATCACCCGTGTGCCATCACCATAGTTGAGTAGGTTGCCTTTTAATCCTCTCTTAAGAGAGTATCTCACAGTGCCAAAGATTTTCATTTTGATGAAGTCGATTTTTTTTTTTTACTGTTATGGATTGTGGGTTTGTTTTTTTTTTAAGTTTTATGTTTGTATAGCTTACATTAATAGTGTGTCAAAAAAGGTTAAATTAGATAGGGGCAGATTAGGAGCTTGTTCTTAAGTCAGCTGAATGTGTGTGTATCTTTCAGGGAAAGAACAAGTTTGGATTAGTTTAACTTATTATGTAAAGGTTTAAGATTGGTAGATAACATCTGGCTAAGATCACGAGGTAAGTGTTAATGAGAAGACAATTTTCCATTAAGCCAATAAGTTATCCTGGTCAGCTATTTGGCCACATGAGAATTCCGCTTGCTTAAATAAACTAACTTGCCAGAGTGTCCTGAAGAAAGCAGTGAAGTCATATTAATACAGAAGGCCCTTACAATAAGATTATTACTTTTTACAGTAATTCTTATTTGAATTTGTTTAACGTTCATTTATTGAGTCTATCTTGTAGTATTGAGACTATCAAGGTTAGAGAAAGCTGACCTGGCAGCTGCATTCTCACCACCGCCCACCCTTCTAGCAACTATACAATATGTTTATTTTGCTAGTGCCTATCACAGGATTTTAAAAGTTTATCTTGTTTCCTTTCCCTATTGGGTTAACTCTTCAGAAACAAATCACTACCCTATTCACCATACTGGTGCTGGACCCTGGAAATATTTCTCCTTTACCAGCTGGCATGACATCTTGTCAGTTGATGGGAACTGGAAGAACACTGCAGGACAGAGTCTTCTCTTATAGTTCTGGAAGGTTTTCACATGTTCCTACAGTGTTTGGCCAGCCTGAGGAACACACAATGACACACCAGCAAGGGTTAGTGACATTCCCACAGGTGTTCTCTTGGTAAGTTCCGCAAGTATCCCGCAGCACCCCTTTACCAGCTTCCTATAAATGTGGGAAACCGCTGGCCAATCCTTTCCCCTGCTACCTCAACACACTTCACGATCTCATAGGTCTCAGTCACACCCTCCCCAAGGAGGTCTGAATTATAAACTTGGTAGGAGAGGGGGGTACATATTACCACGTGTCACTTACTTGGGAATTCTGGCTTAGACAAGAGCTTTTCCCAACATATGTTGTTCCTATTTTTAGAGTTCTTTGCCACCATGAGTAGTAGCTGATCTCCCATTATTATCTATAATTCTGTATTAAACTTTCCTTGTTCAAGTTACTGTATTGTTTTGTTTTTTTTTTCCTCCTCGCTGGACTATTACTTCTTCTTGCAGGCATCCATGAAGTGCATGTAAGGAAAGGTGTTAGAGGCAGGAAGATGAGCAATCACATGATATCACTGTACCACCTTTCTAAGGACCTGTGCTTAGTTGTGTGGTGATGAATGTATTTGGGGTGCTGTGGGTGGCTGGAGACAGAGGCTGCACTTCTGAAACCTAGAGAATTCCTTTGAACCTAGAAAATAATATTTTCATTTATTTATTTATTTATTCATACAGAACTGGGGTACAGGCCAAAGATGCAGAGGGTGAGAGGATTCACCAGAGACAGTAGGAAGCAGAACAGGGCAGATAGACAAGTACACTGCTGAGGGGAGCAGCGGGCGGGTCAGGAGAGGTCAGCCACGCCATGTGGTCGCCTCCGAGGCAGGTGGGGATCGAACTCATGCTGAGGTGGCTTAAGTTTCTTAGTGCTGTGCTTTAACCCACCACGCCACCAGGGAAGGCCAAAAATAATATTTTTATGCTGTGCAATCTCATATTTATTTCAAGTGTATTTTCTAGGTATTACTGAGCAGAAAAATACACTTACTGTTTTTAAAACTAATTTAGGCAGAGTAAAATGAGAATTTTCATGGGCAGTTTTTGAGGTTAATCTATAGCTGACAACTGATGGTACTGGATCTAAGAGGTAAACTCTATGTCAGTCTCTAGAGAAAGAATGCCCCACTGTGGCCAGAAAACCACAAAGAGACTCCCGGAAAGCCCCGGGGTTTGAGCTCTGCTTCCCCTACATACCCAGTCACTGTGCCACTCAATGCGCAGAAGTATGTGGCTGAGTCTTCCTCCTGAGCTGATGCTTTCTGCAGCTGGAAGGAAGACTTGTCCGTGCCAGTGTTGGCTGTGAAACCTTTGACAGTCCCCTTTGAGAGGTGATTCAGGAGTAACTGGAGAGGTTGTTTGGGGTACTGGACATACCAGAAGAGATAAGAAGACCCAGAATACGAGTACTTGCACATCAGCTGCACAGGCTTCCCAGCGAGGACAGAGATGTGGTCATCAGGCTGGGTCACTGTCTGGGCTCCTGTCCCTCCTGCAACACCAATTGTGGGTCAGACAGCAGAGAATATGTCTCCAAAATGATTCTTTTTTTTAAGATTTATTTATTGATGCATTCATAACTGGGGTACAGGCCAGAGATGCAGGTTGGGGAGAGGGTTCACCAGAGACAGAATGGGGAGCAGAGCAGGCAGACTGACAAAGTACACTGCTGAGGGGAGCAGTGGGCGGGTCAGGAGAGGCCTGCAGCCAGCTTGAAGTGCTGTGCTTGAACCCGCTGCTCTGCCAGGGAGGGCCCAAAATGATTCTTAATCAGAAATAAAACAGAGAAAGGCAAAAAAAAAAAAAAAAAAAGGCTTTACTCACTGAAGGTGACCATCAGCACCAGCGATGAGATGATGACAGGCTTCATGTCCGAGGAAATCGAAGGCTCTTCCTGGGCACAGTTCTGCTGGCACACTGACACCAGAGTGAACACTGGTGCACCAGTTAGCCCCCAAGGAGGGCAAAAGCTTTTTCTCAAAGGCTGGCTGCTTCCTGGCTTCCTACCAATTTCAAATTGTGTAGCATCTTCCTCTAGAGGCCAACTCTGACATTGCAGATGATAACTTCTGGTCAGGAAGCCCCAAAATTCTCAGAATTGAGCAGGATTTCTCCTATACTTACTACACAGAGTGTGATGCTTATTAAGTGAAAAAGCATGTTTCTAGAAAAGTCCAGATAGAGCAGTGGGACAGATTAAAAAGTCTAGATATACAAATTATTTATGGAAATTTAGTTATAACAAAAATGAGGAAAGATGTTATATTCAATAAAATGCACTTTTGTGAATAGAGAGTCGTGTAAATATTAACAAATAAATTTCATGTTACAAAAATGAATTCTAAATGAAGATAACATTTAATATATTTAAATAAAATAAACGATAAACTGTTTTTTAATAAATTTGGCATGGTGGTAGGTTTTTTAAGTGTGAAAGAAAACATAAGCAAAGTCTTTACAGATTATACTTCATAAACATTTAAACTTCAACACAAGTATATAAATGAAATGTTTAAACATTACCAGATTGAGTTGTTTAATTATTCAATCAAAACATTCACTATGGGGCCCTCCCTGGTGGCGCAGCGGGTTAAAGCACAGCACTAAGAAGCTTAAGCCACTTCCTCATGAGTTCAATTCCCGCCTGCCCCGGAGGAAATCCACATGGCGAGGCAGACCTCTCCTGACCCGCCCGCTGCTCCCCTCAGCAGTGTTCTTCGTCGATCTGCCTGTTCTGCTCCCCACTCTGTCTCTGGTGAATCCTCTCATCCTCCGCATCTCTGGCCTGTACCCCAGTTCTATATGAATAAATAAATCTTAAAAAAAAAATTCACAGCCCTCCCTGGTGGCGCAGCAGGTTAAAGCACAGCACTAAGAAGCTTAAGCCACTTCCTCATGAGTTCAATTCCCGCCTGCCCCGGAGGAAATCCACATGGCGAGGCAGACCTCTCCTGACCCGCCCTCTGCTCCCCTCAGCAGTGTACTTCGTTGATCTGCCTGTCCTGCTCCCCACTCTGTCTCTGGTGAATCCTCTCATCCTCCGCATCTCTGGCCTGTACCCCAGTTCTATATGAATAAATAAATCTTTAAAAAAAAAATTCACTATGGATTCTAACCTCTCTGCACTGGTGGTAGCTATTTAGAGTTCTAGTTTTAGAAGTTTTTCTTCTCTTTTCTTTTTTTTAATGGGCCATATCAAAAGAAACTTTTACCCTAGGGAGAGGCTGAAGGAAACCTTGGCTGAAGAGGTTGAAAAGAGCTCCTTAGCCAAAGAGGTACTATGGTTTCCAGATGGGCTAGGCTGAAAGAGTTGAAGGTATCCTATTTTGGGGTCCCATGGCAGGGACCTCCAGAATAAAGAGCAGAAAGTAGTGAGTCATGGTGAGACCCTGGCTTGCAGAGATAAGTAAACTTCTAAGAAGGAAATGAATTGCTTGAAGAATTGGCCCCAGATGGCTAAGAAGAAGAAACAGGTAGACTGAGTTCCATCTGTCCTTGGAGGAGAGGGGTACAGGAGGTCATCATAGTAGGTTTTCAACAGAGCAATGCCACTGTGCTTTCTACCACATTACTGTCTAGTCTTTTTACTCTCCCTGTATTGTTTCCCCTTAAAGTGTCCCAGAAGTGGGCTCTCCCTTGTGGCATAATGGGTTAAAGCACTGCATTATGAAGCTCTCCGAAGCCACTGCAGCATAAGTTCCATTCCCCAGCCAGGAGATGACCCACATGGCTCGGCAGACCTCTCCTGACTTGCCCGCTGCTCCCCTCAGCACTGTACTTCATCACTCTGCCTATTCTGCTCCCCACTCTGTCTTTGGTGAATTTTCTCACTACACCTCACCTCTGGCCTGTACCAGAGTTTCTGTATGCATAAGCGAATAAATCCTAAAAAAGAGAGAGAGAGAAATAATATGCTTTGACCACTGGGAACAATGGAGCCCTCCAGGCAATAACCCTGGTTACAACACCCTAGTTTACATCCCCAATAACATGTACATATAAATATTAAACGTTCCATTTTTCTATGAAGATACAAAGACAATTTGAATTTTTCAAATTGTGAGAACATAGGTCTTTGACATAAGGAGAGAGGGAAAAACCAAGTCCATGTGTCCTTGGATGTAGTGGTGCTTCTTTTTTTGATCGGTTCATAGGATTTTTTTTTTTAAAGTTTTTTGGTTGGTTTTCCAACTTTTTTTTTTTTTTTTAGATTTATTTGTGCATACAGAACTGGGGTACAGGCCAGAGGCTCAGGGGCAGTGAGAGGCTTTACCAGAGACAGAGCGGGGATTAGAACAGGCAGATCGAGGAAGTACACTGCTGAGGGGAGCAGCGGGCGGGTCAGGAGAGGTCTGCCTTGCCATGTGGTCACCTCCAGGGCAGGTGGGAATCAAACTCATGCGGAAGCGGCTTTAGGCTTCCTAATGCTGTGCTGTAACCCACTGCATCACCAGGGAGGGCCAGGATTATTTTTATAAACTATTTTAAATGTATGTTTTCGTAGTTCTGGAGACACATTTATAATAAGGGATGAATCCTACACAGCTCATTCTTAAAAATTAAATTTAGGTGGTTATCAATATTTTAAGGAGATGAAACAATTAATTTTATAATTTGTGCCACTAAGACTTATGAAATATTGACTTAATGGAGGCTTAACTGCCTTGTGTGTAAACTTTTGTAATGTTTTAGGAAGCAGGTTTTTTCTCTTATCACAAATAAAAATTTGAGGTAATTGTCATATATAAAATATCTAAAGCACACTGACTTTTTACTATAATTGTTTCAAAGAAAATGAAAATGTTGCGTGGCCTTGGATACCTCTATTAGAATTAATGTAATATTTAATATTTTTGTGGTAGTGGAGATCTACCATCTTATGAATTTTTGTTACTATGCTTGAAAGTCTGGAATTTTTGTATGTAATTTCATATTTTATCATGAATTTGAGTGAGTTCTTAAAGTATAATGCTTAAACAGTTTACAATATTTTCATCTATTGTATTTGGTATATTTGGGGGGTTAATGACCTCAACTTTTAATTTGGAAATGTTTCAAAGGACAGTTACAACTCGGTGGTTTTAGATTTTCAGCATCACATTAAAGTTTATGCTCAATTTGTTCACTGGTTTTGTGGAATATTCATAAAATTAGAAGTCTCGGTGTTGTGATATCTAATTTACTTTAAAACATGTTTATTCTCTCACAGTGAGGTATTGCGTGTTTCCCAGGCGTTAACCTCCACAGCTAGCTTGAGAATTTATAATGATGTACAGGTTGCCCTGCAAATGTATGAGCACAACTGTCAGCTATCATTACAGCTGGGAATTCAGCCTTCCACACACTGAAGGACACCAGGGCCATGCTAGTTATCCTAGTGAATGCTACAGGTGACTTTTTAAAATAAAATGTTCTTGCCTGACATTTTATGATATACATTCCTCAGAGTGTGGGAATAGGGTAGGCTTTGGGGAAGGGGGGTTTCTCCTAGAGAAATTCCTTAGAAGACCTCCATCTGAGGCAAAGTTTCTGTGAATGCGTGTAGCGCTGATGTTGAAGCAAGATTCAGGAGACAAGCTCTCCCCAGGGCTCAGCCCATCCTGTCCTATTTGCCTTCATAAAAAAGACACCTTCGGCCCTCCCTGGTGGCGCAGCGGGTTAAAACACAGCACTAAGAAGCTAAAGCCACTTCCGCATGAGTTCGATTCCCGCCTGCCCCGGAGGTGACCTCATGGCGTG